TTATCAAACAGTTTAAAAATAAACTTATTCATTTTCAACGGTCTACGTCTATCCTTTTTTTTATTTTACAACCCATAAAACCTTAATATTCCGTTCTGTTCTGGTTTTCCTTATACGTAAAATATACGTTTAAAATATGTTGAATTTTCAAATGCGTTCTAAATTTGAATGAATTCGATCTTCTAGAACAATTTAAATACGATTTAGAATATCTTAAACGTTCGATAAGAATTTCACCGTTATTTTTCATATAAAAGGTCAGTAAAATCACTTAAAATGAAAATATTATGTTAGTTAAAGTTTGTAAAATTACAAAAGATTCTAAGAAAAACATTAATATTTAATATTAATTGCGTAATTAATATATAGAATTAAAATCTTCAACTGTAGGTTTGACATAATTCTTTTTAAAATATTGTATTCGCATTAATGATGGACGAAAAAGATAAAAAAATACAAAGTAAAAAGTCAAAAAAGGTTAAAACAAAAGAGCGTAAAACATCAGATTTGAAAAATTTGATTCAAGTTGATGAGATTGGTAAGTTGTGAATCAGATTATTTATTATATTTGCATTCGGATTTAATATTGTTATAATTTATTACGTTTAGAATTGCCTCCTCCTGAAGCTCCAATATGCACTGCTGTAACTTTTAATTCCATCTCACTACAGTGGGACCAAGATGATCTCAGTGATGATAAACTTTACATAGTGCAATATTCGCATCAGAAAAAGAAATGGGATACTGCGTACAAGTAAGAAAAATTTTGATAAATTCTAATTTTCAAAAAATAAAAATATTAAATTAAGTGCAAATTTTTAAAAAAAATATCTTTCTTCAGCGGTTATGCAAAGAGCGAAGTCTTGAAATCTCTTCCACCAAATACAGTTTTTTACTTTCGAGTAAAGTACAAAAAAGGTATGGCAGAAAGTGATTGGTCGAATATTACTGAAGTTACAACAGCCAGTAAGTTAAAAACTATAATCATATCAATACTATTTACGTGTAAATTTAAATGTTTATTCTTTACATATTACAGAAGAGCCTCTAAGCATGCTTGATCTGCATAAAGCAGTGCAAAGTGAAAATTTATCTAAAGTAATCAGTATTTTAGAAAGAGAGTAAGTTTTTATTATAAATTAAAACTTCAAGTTTTTAAAATATTTAAAATTCGTACGAAAATTTCTAGTGAACACCATCAATTAAAAATAGATTCCCCAGATCACTATGGATTATCTGTTTTGATGAGAGCCATACTAAGGAATTGCAACGAGTAACAATTTACCATTATATATTTTGAATTTTTACGTAAAACTGATGACAAATTTCAATTTCAGTATAGCTGAAGTACTTATTAAGCATGGCGCCGACATCAATTATAGTGATGCTAGTGGAAGAAATTGGTAGACTTAGAATCTACATAATTTCACATTAAAACAGATTATCATAATACTAACACATAGTTTTGTTTTGCGTAGTCTAATGACAGCTTGCTTTATCGGGAACTTGGAAGCTACAAAACTTCTGAGAAAATTAGGATGTAAATGGACCACCGTTGATAAATTCGGAAACACGCCTTTGCATTGTGCGGTTGAAGGAAATAGCTTGGAAGTTATTAAATGGGCGATTAAAGATGGAGTCGATATTCATGCAACAGATAAAAATGGACTGACGCCGCTTCTGAAACATGGTAATTTTATTTAAAAATTTATTACTATTTTATTATTACATATCTGAAATCGTAAACTTGATCGATTTATATTTACAAGCTCTTAATGGAGGTTCTAGCGAAATAACAAAATTGTTAATATTAGAAGGCGCAAATATCGATGCACAAGATATATATGGTAACACTGCTCTAATTTTAGCTACTGTTAGAAACAATCCAGAAATTGTTCGAGAGTTAATCGCTAATAACTGTGATTGGTCTCTACCAAGTTATGTAAGTAATTTATTATATTACATTGTTGTCATTTTCGTTGAATTTTGATTTAATTCAACATTTCAGTACAATAGAACCGCCATCGAAATCGCTGAAAGTCTTGATCGTAGAGTAAGATAATATCGAATAAAAGTGAGGTATTTTTATGATTCTAATTTAACTAGAGAATATCAAGCAGAATTGATATTTCAGGTGATAATACAACTTCTGAGCAAGTTCAAAGATGAATTAGAAAATGAAGCTAATAAGAAAATGTTGAAAGATATAGATCCGGAAAAATTAAAAATGCAAGAGACAAATGATGATAATAAAGAAGAAGCCTTCCTTCCAGATAAAACACCGATTTACAAAATTCCGAAATTACAAGCATCCTTCAAAGAGCTAAAGGATTCAAAACTCGATGATATCGATGACGATTCGAAACCCGAAACAAGCTCTAATGTATAAGATTTCAGACGCCTTTGATTCAAAAGCTCTATTGAATCTCAAATTGCAGACACCGAAATAAATAACGAAGATTTATTTTATTAATGTTTTTGAAAATAATTTTCCTACTGAATTCTTCATTATAATTATAGAAATTTAACATACTATTCTAATAAAACAATATTTAAAAATAATATCTATTTTTGTCTTTATTTGTATATATTATTTATATTTTACCAGTAGAAATGATTAGTATATCAAATAAAAAAATATTTAAATTTAAAAAATTTAAATGAATATTTTTTAAAAAAAATTTCAAATTGTCGTTCGATATAACGGAAATTTCCATGGCAACCAATTAGTTATTTTTTTTAAAAACTCGGAACGGAAAAAACGAACATACGATGCTGATTTTTAGGTATTTTACGATATTATTTATTATCTTTTATCAAAATCTTACAAAAAAATTACCGAATTACAATTCGAAAAATTTGGAAAATGCGACACGTTCGCAATGCACTAATTTACAAAATATTGAAGAAGTTATTCCCGTATTAATTATGACAGAAAAAAACGAAACAATTTTATTGCCTTGTAAAGTTTGGTTAGTATGTGCTGCCCTCTGATGCTAAATAATCATAATATTACTTTTTAAAATTATTTTAAATTTTTCTAACTTTCAGTTCGGAAAATGAAACATATTCTTCCAGAGTTTGGAAAAAAGAGGATTTTTCTGGCTCACTAAATAAAGTCAAAACTGATCTTCATGATGATGATGATACGAACCGAATCATCGTTAACGAAAACCATGAGCTGATCATCAAAAACATAACTGTGGATGATGTTGGATTTTATTTTTGCTACGATTTAGATAGCAATTATACAAAATTAAAATATTTAGTCGATAGTTAGTCTTTAACACATGCAAAATATTTAATTAATTTATTATAAAATATTAATTATTATTTTTTCTTCTTAGTTTTAAACGAAGATAATGTTAAATTGGCTTATTTAAATACTACTGGTATATATATATTTTTTTCATATTGCTTATATATTTAAGAATTTATTTAAATACAAAAAGAATATGATATATATTTTTATTCTTTAGCAGTCTTCAATTTAACAGCAGCTGCTATACCTTACTTGGAGCCTTGTCAACATAAGAGTAAATATAATTTATAATCATAATCTTAGTCTAGCTCAAGCATAAATATTTATTTTAATTTTAGAATCCATTCATTACTTGAAGAACTACGAGTGTACTTATAAATGGGAATCTTGGGGCCCTTGCGACCGTTGTCTCTCAATTGGAGAAAGGAGGAGAATAGGACGATGTAGACTGCGGATGAAAATCAAAATTACAAAAGTACGTTTTGTTTTTTTTTTATTTTTCTTAAATATAAATACTAATAAGTTTGATTTTCTCTTTAAAGGTAATTCTACTGGAAAATAAAGATGTAGATAAAACAATAGATTATTTCTTGCCTGTATTCAGCGCCGGTTGTCACTCTTATATTTTTGATAATGATGAAAGCGCTAAAAAAATTTTTGAAAAGATACCAAATATTATAGTAAAAGATCGATGTCAAACTAACTGTGGTGAGTATTTTAGAATTTTTTTAAAAAAATTAACATTTAAGACGAAGCATAGTATAATAGCATAGATGTCCGCAGAGGGAAACAAACTGGGCTCTTTCCCTCCCCTGAAATCGAGTAAAAATCCCATAAATTATAGTAAAAGTGATTGATATATGTAACCTTGCACCCTTGATCTTGTCTTTAAAAAGAAATAAATAATTAAATAAAAATTTATTGATGTAATTATTTGTCTTCAAGCTTTTTCTTTCTGGAAAATTTTCAGCGATGCTCATGTATAGTAATACAGTGTACATTAGTTAATTATTACAATTGTCATTATGATGATCTCAGTAATAACTAAATTATAAATCGCTTAATACACTTTATTAAAAGCAAAATCTGTAGCTATAATAGTTTCTTAAATACATAATATATTGTAAAATATTATAAATTGACGATAAAATACAAATAAAAATTTCATGTCTCGCATCCTTCACTATCACAGGAACATAATTAACATTGGT